TGATGAGAATGTACTGAGATATTTGAAGTGAGAACACAAACACGAACATGCAGAGAGGAGCCAGCGACGAGCATCGAATCGCATTCCTTCACCAGGTTCTGCACGGACGTGACGATCCACTGCGGGACGGCCTCACCGAAGAAGATGACGTCACACTTCATGGCGCCTCCACATGTGTCACATTTTGGTGGCTGGAATATTATTTTATTCCAATTCAAATTACACGACGATGCACCTTTTAACAAGTGATCATATATTTGCAACAATCAGAGTTTATTATTGTTATAATACTCGCTGTCGTAACCGATTTACGATGCGACGGGTTCAAATCTTCGATTGAATAAAATACTCCAAACAGTTATTAGTTATTAAACTTTATTTACAGAAGAAATCAACTAATCGTTTATTTCTAGCAATTTCAAATTAACACAACAATTAACTTTTAAATTGTTCAAAATCTATCGCTATGACAACGTCAACAAAACAAATCAAATATCGCTTTAAATAATTCACCGAATCGCTATTCACAAAATCAAAAAGTCACGAATTTGCAAAATCACGAATTTCACTAATCCCGAATCTTCTTGCGACGTGCGCTTACATACTCTTCGCAAGCGTCGTTTCTAGATTCTTCTAGATGGTCCGATTCTAGCATACTCTAGTCTAGAATGCTCTAGTCACTAGAACATTCTAGAATACGCTAGAATCTAGTGCGTTCGGTAGCACGGTTATAACATTACCCCCTTCTTAGTTCTGTTCGTCCCGAACAGCTTTCGTTCCGGTGTCCGCATGGTACGGAGCCAGTCTATCCAAATGAACGATCTTCATTCTTGCTCTCGGCTTCCGATATTCCTGAATACGGTAGACGACGTCATTCAAGCGGGTGATGACTTGATAAGGTCCTTCCCACCCTCGCTGGAGCTTTGGAGAACGTCCTTTCTTTCGCTGTGGGTTGTACAGCCAAACTAACTCGTCGACAGCAAAACCGCCACTGCTTCCTTTCAAGTTGTATCTGGTTTTGGCCGCCTCCGTGTTTTTCATAATTTTAAGGCGTACGTAACGGTGGATATGGTTTAATCGCTGTCGAAGATTATCCACGTATTCTGTTAATGGTTGGTGTGGTTCAGGTGGTACGCCATATTTCACATCAGCTGGAGTTCTTAAGGTAGTCCCAAACAGAACTTTTGATGGCGTTTCTCCAGTAGTTGTGTGGATAGCACTCCGGTATGCCATAAGAAACAATGGTATATGACGATCCCGATCCCGTTGATTTTCGTCGACTATTTTAGCCAGATGCTCAATCAGGGTTTGGTTAAATCGTTCCACCATACCGTCAGACTGTGGGTGAAGAGGTGTCGTTCGAGTTTTGTTTATACCCAGCAGCTTGCACATTTCACCAAACAGTTGTGACTCAAAATTTCGACCTTGATCTGAGTGGAGTTCCAATGGGACACCATATCGACTAATCCAACTGAGTACAATTTCCTCAGCGACGGTACATGCTTCTTGGTTGGGTATTGGAAACACCTCAGGCCATTTGCTGAAATAGTCCGCTACAACCAGAATGTAACGGTTTCCATAATCTGATACCGGAAAGGGTCCAGCAATATCTATAGCAATCTGTTCAAAGGGGACACCAACATTGTAGATTTGCATTGCTTCTTTTAGCCTTCTTTTGGGTCTTTTGACTGAAGCGCATGTGTTACATTTTCGACACCAGCTCTCTACATCTTCTCTAACGTGAAGCCAGTAGAATCCTTCTCGTATTTTGTCAAGGGTCTTGTTCACTCCTAAATGTCCCCCAGAAGGGCCGCCATGCATTTCATCAAGGATTTCGGTCGTTCTACTTCTTGGTATTACAACTTGCATGCGGTGTTTTGATCCATCAGCTGATTCCCATTTTCGTTTCAGCTAATCCACTTCCAAATACAATGAGTCCCACTGAGCCCAATAACCCTTTAACACGGTACTATATTCTGAGATGCTTTGCCAGTCCGGTCGCTTGCCCTCCTTCTTCCATGTGATCAGATGTTGTAGGTCCTCATCCGCAAACTGTGCATCAGCAAGATCCGTCGGTGTCCAACCGTCATCCGCTGATATTGTTGTTGCTCTTATATCTTCCGATTGTATCTTCTCCTCGTGACGACAGCAATATTTGCATCCTGGTAAACATGGCCGACGGGAGAGAGCATCAGCATTACTATGAGTTGTTCCTTTGCGGTGCACGATCTCGAAGTCGTACATTTGTAAACGCTCCAACCATCGGGCCATCTGTCCTCCAAGATCCTTGAAGTTGAGGAGCCATCTTAACGCTGCATGATCAGTTCGGAGAAGAAATTTCTGTCCATAAAGGTACTTGTGGAAGTGTTTTGTTGCATTGACTATTGCTAGTAACTCCTTCCTGGTTACACAATAGTTTCGTTCGGGCTTTGTGAATCCTCTGCTATAATACGCTAGCACCTTTTCTTCTCCGTCTATATGCTGTGACAAAACGGCTCCGATTCCGTTGTTACTTGCATCAGTATCTAACACAAACGTCTTGCCACGAACTGGATATGCTAGCAAAGGAGCATCACATAGTTCAACTTTTAACTTTTCAAATGCTGAGTCGCATAGGGTATTCCAGTTGAAAAATCGGTCCTTCTCGGTAAGTTGGTGGAGAGGTCTGGCAACTTTTGCATAATCCTTTACAAAACGTTGATAGTACGTTGCCAATCCAAGAAAACTGCGCAATTCATTTTTATCGTTTGGAGTTGGCCAGTCTTTCACAATTTCTATCTTGCTGGGATCGGTTCGAACTCCATCTGAAGATACCACATGTCCCAAATAGTTAACTTCTTTAGAAAATAACCTGCACTTTTTAACGTTCAGCTTTGAATTTGCCACCCGAAGTCTTGTGAAGATCTCCCGTAAGTTTTCGACGTGTTGATCAAATGTTCTTCCTAGAACAATTATGTCGTCTAAATAGACAAGACAGGTTTTCCAGTTAAGACCTTGCAATACACATTCCATCTGTCGCTCGAATGTAGCTGGAGCATTGCACAATCCAAAAGGCATGACGGTGAATTGCCACAACCCCGATCCGATAGAAAACGCTGTCTTTTCGCGATCGTTCTTGTCGATTTCTACTTGCCAGTATCCGCTTTTCAATCAAGCGTAGAGAACCAACTTGAGCCAGATAGGGTGTCCATGATGTCATCAATCCTTGGTAACGGATAGCTGTCCTTTTTAGTCACATCATTTAACTTCCTATAATCAACGTAAAAACGGGTAGTGCCGTCCTTCTTTTTTACCAAAACAACTGGCGAAATCCAGGGACTTGATGACGGTTTGATGACGCCTTGATTCTGCATTGTCGTTATCATTTCGTTTACTTCTGTTTGTTTTGCTAGAGGAAGACGTCGTGGTACTTGTCGGATCGGTTTCGAATCCTGAGTATCAATTCGGTGAGTTACCAGAGCTGTTTTACCTTGGTCATTGTCACCGGTTGAAAACACGTCTGCAAAATCAGCAATCAACGCCTCGGCTTTTAGACGGTCTTCTTGATACAAATTGAGTTCATCCAGTAGATTTTTGGTAAGTTCTTTGAGTCTACCTTTGTCAGTTGGTAGAACCTTTTCCTGTTCCTTCATATCTAATGATTTCACCAAATTTATTGATTGGCAATTACCTATTTCCTCGCCTTTTTTAATTTTAATAGTGTGTTTAGCGGTATTCATTATTCTGACAGGAATAAGACCATTTTCGTTCGCTTCTACCAGGCATTTTCCAATGACCGCGTTCTGTACATTTGTCGTTGAGGTTGGCTCCATCAAATAAAACTGATGGCCCCCAGGATCGCAATTTAACTTGCCCATACGATGTTTTCAGATGATTGAGGTAGTTCTATGTCACAATCGACTGTCACTCGAATGCATTTTACGTCGCTATCCCCCATTATCACTTCTGTATTTCTCCATCTAAGAATGCGTTTTTCTAAGTCAATTTTGAACCCATATTTTGTCAGAAAATCGACACCTATTATGCATTCGTCGATGATATCCGCGACTAAGAAAACCTTCGAATNACAAGTCGCCTAGCTGAACAGTACGGAGAATCTCTCCATAGACTGGTCCTGTTCCTCCGGTACCTGTTCGAAGGATGTATTTGTTAGAAGTCTCTTTCTTCAGATTGGGTACCAAATCAGATCTTAAAATCGATTTTGTTGCTCCGGTGTCGACTGTAATTACACATTCTCGTTGATCAACTTTTCCGTTCAGCCATAGGTCGTTTCGATTTCGATGTAGTCTGGAAACGTTAATTACGGTACTGGGGGCGTCAATTCTACTAGCCAACCTCTGCCCCACAAAGTTGGCTCTTATTAGTTTTCCGCCCCTTCGTTAGAAGGGGCCGATCGTGATACAGGATCATCTTCTCATCTTTTGCGCCATCTTGTCGCGCAATTTCGGCAGTAGTTATCTTTTAGGCGGTGTTTACAATCACGACGTAGATGGCCTTTTTCACCACAAATCCAGCATTGGGGTACACCATGCTGTTGAGGTTCGCGTTTCACAACCACTTTCTGGCAAGGGCATTCTTCATGTACTTGGCGTAGACGTACGTCTCTTTTTGATGCTCGCTTTGCCGATTCAAAAGTGAGACTGTGCGCAACGGCATCCTTGAGTTTTCGTTTATCTGACAAGAGAAGGGATTGCTTGAGTTCCGAATGACGAAGGGCTTTGATAAACGTATCCAGGGCAGTTTCGTCTCTATGCTCGGGGTCTGATGTCGGATACGACAGCAATGTCAACCGTTCGATATTTTGTGCCAGCTGCTGAATGGATTCACCAGCTCGTTGCGTTCTGTTTCTAAGTTGAGATCGATAAATCTGTTTCATGTGTTCTTCACCATAACGTAAATCCAACGCGCTAACCAGAACTTCATAGTTGAAGTGGTTCTCCGCCGGAATCGTCTGAAGAACCTCTGCTGCTGAACCTCGCAGGGCCAGTATCAGTGCTGTTGCTCGTTCTTTTCCGTTCCAACAGTTACTAGTTGCCGCTGCTTCGAACTGGGTTTTATAAACGTTCCAGGACATCTCTCCGTCAAATGCTGGTACCTTCAAAGTTTTTCCGGATGCGTGATCTAACGGCATGGTCATTTTTTTGGATTGCTCCAATTCTCGCTTCAATTTGTCTATCTTGTGATCTACCTCAACGGTCTGACGATCAAGTTTCTGCTCGATCATTTCTATTCTTGTTGACTGTTCTTCAATCTGTTCTGCCACTTGCAATTTTACGTGTTTTAGCTGGTCCTTGATCTGTTTTAACTGCTCTGTCTGTCGTTCGGACTGTTGCTTGATCTGTTGTTTTAACTCTTCTGTCTGTCGTTCGGACCGTTGTTTTAACTCTTCTGTCTGTCGTTCGGACTGTCGTTCGGACTGTTCTTTGATCTGTTTCATTTCAGTTGACATACTAAGCAGAAGTTCCATCATTTTAGCGGTTGTAAACGTGCCTGTGCTAATTTCATTGTCTTCGTCAGCACCATCAAACTTGAATTCGTCTGGGTTCTTACCTTCGTCAATGAGAGCTTCTCTCAGACGTGCTACTAGTACTTCTTTGTTGCCACTTGTGACAAGGCTTCGTTTCTGTAGTTCTTCTCGTAGCTGAACTACGTTCAGACCACACAGTTTTGACATCATGTTCTTTTTCTATGAGTAGTAATTCGCTGGTCGAAGATCCCACTTCTGACACCAATGTTATAATACTCGCTGTCGTAACCGATTTACGATGCGACGGGTTCAAATCTTCGATTGAATAAAATACTCCAAACAGTTATTAGTTATTAAACTTTATTTACAGAAGAAATCAACTAATCGTTTATTTCTAGCAATTTCAAATTAACACAACAATTAACTTTTAAATTGTTCAAAATCTATCGCTATGACAACGTCAACAAAACAAATCAAATATCGCTTTAAATAATTCACCGAATCGCTATTCACAAAATCAAAAAGTCACGAATTTGCAAAATCACGAATTTCACTAATCCCGAATCTTCTTGCGACGTGCGCTTATATACTCTTCGCAAGCGTCGTTTCTAGATTCTTCTAGATGGTCCGATTCTAGCATACTCTAGTCTAGAATGCTCCAGTCACTAGAACATTCTAGAATACGCTAGAATCTAGTGCGTTCGGTAGCACGATTATAACATTACCATTATTACTACTAATAATAATATTATTATCTGTAGTTTACACAAACTGATAGAAATTGGTTTGTAGAATCATGGTTATTTTTGAATTCTAGATTTTAAACTTCCAAGTGAAAAATTGCTTGTTGAAATTATAACAATGGACAGCATAAGAGAATAATGAGAAACAAGTGAGGATCATCGAAGAAAGTTTCCATAAATACAGATCAACAAAATATTGTTAACAAAAACAAGCAAACAAAATATAGCTAAACACATTACTTTAATATCTTTGTTGAAAAAAGAATGTAATCAACAGAGGATCATTGTTTAACAACTTGCAAATAAATTTCGCTTACTATAAACTGATTGACAATAGAATCACTGACTAGTACATCTCCATCCAAAGCGATATGATTGGCTGGTTTAATTTCTTTCAACCAATCAGAATTGAGTTGTTGCATCATTTCCTGAACCTTGTATCGGGTGGTTACCTCCCCGCACTGAGTGCATATCACCTGTTTGCATCGTTGGTAGTGGGTATTTGATGGTATTTTTTAACTGCCCAAATTATCAAGTAAAATAATTATGATACTAAGCTACAAAAAAAGTCAAAATAATATGGCCAAGAATGTGGGATATTATCATGTAAATCAATCAACATACACACACATACAAAGACTAACACACATAGAAACACGCTGACATACACAATCTGATTATAAACTGTAAATTACCACGACTGACATATTTATTGTTCCACAGAAGGAAACGCTGATGAAAGCTAGACCAATGTGCAGGCATTCTGAGCACAGGAGGTTAGCAATGCAAGCAACGAAAAGCATACACACAGACACATACAAAGACACATACAGAGAAATACTCAACAAATAAGAGAAAGACGCACGTGACCGTAATTCATCACGACTGGAATGCAAATAATTTTCCACGAAAGTACAGACTAGGTTATCACATCAGTGTACGGCCATTAAGACGCCAACACGCAAGCACTCTCTCCTATATAAAGAGATGCAGCATTAAGCATAGGACACAAGTAGATAGGACACACACAAGATATACAAGATAAGAAAAAGGAGGTAGAGGTAAAGGAAGAGAAAAAGCAGGTCTATTGGTTTTGTATGTATCTATCATTTTTATTCGTTTATATCTTCTCGTCTTTGAAAAAGAACAATCAAACTAAAATGGGTGAGTTTGTGTTTGATTCACTAAAATATAATATTTCTAATCGTCATAACTAACATAATAACTAAGTCGTATAAGTCATCAATTTAATTCGTCACCACTGTACATTCATTTAACGATAATCGAGTTTGATGGCCTAACCATGTTCCTGTATAGATACGGTATTCAACACAACATTACGCTGGAGAAGCGAGGTATCAACATCAGAAGAAGCATTACAATCTACATAAAACAACGCAACACACATCTACATAATAATATTTATGTAGAGCATATATTGTCACCTAATAAGAGGGTTTTCAAACTTAAAAAGATTAAACGTGGACAATGGCCACCTCCAAACATGCTCCAATCCAATTTTATTGAGACCAATTTTTGATATTATCAAGTATGTGAATAAGGAAAAAATACCCAACAGCAAACTGTATTGTCACACACACATGCAGTAAGGCACACACACAGTAACACACACACACAGTAACACACACAGTAACACACACAGTAACACACACACACACACACATATTGCAGTTACAACATATATTAGTATGATAATATAATTAATATTGAAAGTTTTACGCGAAATATATTTATAATCACTACCTGATGAATGTTTCCATGGAGCTCCACGACTTTCTTGCTACCAGCTCTCATATGTAATCTGTCAGTATGGCAAATATGTTCTTATTTTGAAATAATTTTTTAGTTTAATCAAATAAAAATCAGTATAAAATAAATATTAGCACATGGTGAATGCAAAATAAATAAAAAAAAAAAATTTACAATGGAACATTAACAGGAAATGAAGACAAAACTAACCTATCAATGTTCTGTGTGACCAGAAAGTGAACTAAACCCTTCCTCTCCCAGTGAGCAAAAGATTTGTGAGTGGCATTTGGCTGAGTGGCAGATAATTTGGGCCAGGACACAAAGTTCCTCAGCCAGTAACGCTTCCTCAGAACGTCACTGCACATGAAATCGTTGTAGTTGAGGATGGGTCGCGTGCGTCTGGAGTACAAGCCGATGTCTGGTGACCTGTAATCTGATGTGGAGACGAAGTTAATGATTGAAAGCTGAACAATAATTTATTCAGTATATAACGAAGTGCAGAACAGATCAATATAATACAATATGATCAATATAACAACTAATTATAATACAATTAAAGAAATGGTATGAATTAAGTGAACATTATCTGAATTTCAAAAGTAGATTATTTATTTAATTTATGATTTATAATTCAAATCACTCAAGAAGATTTTATAATTTGGATAAAATTTACTTAATGTTACATCCTTCGTTCAATCAGATAAACAAAACCTAACATGATAAATATTTGAATTTGAAAAATAAAATGATGATATTCCAAATTATTTAATATGTATTAAATTACCAAACTCTATGAGGTACTTAATTAGTATATTTTAATTATAATATTTACTATAAATAGCGAACCGGGAATTCCACTTTCAGTCGAGACACCAGCTCCGGTGATGACGAGCAACTTTTTTGATTCACTGACGAAATCATTTACGAGTAATAATTCTCTCTCATTTGGTGGACATGATCTCGGTACCGTGTCGCACAACTTGTTCAAACATGTTGAAAATCTTCTGGCTATACTTTTGGCAGCCATCTTTCAACTAAATAAAAGATATTAGAAACAATTCTAATCAATGTGGATTATTGTTTCATTTTATTATAATACAAATAAAGTGAAACATAATTTAATTAAAAACCAGGGTTATTTAAAATTATTCTATCATTTAATATCAAAAAATTGCATTTATAATATAATTTAATTTTAGTTTTTTCTGAAATATAAATTACAGACATTGAAAATATTAATATAATATTAATATTTAATAAATAAAGTGGCAAGATTAGGATCGAACAGCTATCATAGGTTGAAAGTTTTGACACAACTAGAGAAAGCTGTTTAATTCTGTATTCACTTACTTACTTGAACATTAAAGAAAATTTAAAATAAGTAATTTTAATTAACAATTAACCCCCTTAAAATAAGAAATTTAAGGCTTAAAAATAAAACATTTTTTTCAAACTAAAAAATCTTTAAAATTTAATTAAAGAACTGTCCAACAGAACAGGCAGTAAAATAGTCTGTAGTTTTTAAATTAAAATTTAGCATTGCATTTATTTTATATATCAGTGAAAAACAAATTAATTAATAATTATTTTAAAGAATAAAAATTAAAACTCTAATAATAACAATTACTTGGTTTTTGAGAGTTTAGAGCGAGTCTTTACTTAGTAGTAGAATACTAAATTATTATTATAATATAAACTATAAATTACTTAAAGTTTTTACAGTTATTTACTTTTATATTTTATAAGTCTTTAACTAACAAAATATTTGCCTAATAAATATTTAAATTTAAAAAAATATATTTATTTTGTTTCATTTATTTTAAATATTTTGTGAAATCAATTTTATTTTCAAAAAACGGTAAAATAAATTTTTCTTTCTTCTTTTGTCCACACACTGTAGGAAATATTCATTTTCTACAAACATTTATGAGTAGAATTATTTTTATTTTTTAACTATAAGAATTTTTTAAGTTTTTTTCTTTAAAAGAAGATCTTTAAAATTCTTTCATAAAAAAAACAAGAAATACAAATTAAATCGTAAAAAATATTCTTATTTTATTTACAAATCAGCGAGAACGGACTCAACATCATCAATAATAAAACGCACACAATTATTCGCATTTAATTTGAGAATTAATTAAAATATTAAATTAATGCGTAAAATGTAATATCTGTATAAAATATATATAATATATATTATATATATATATAAACCTATATATATATATTATACATATTTTATATATATATATATATATATATATATATAAACTCACATTAAATAAAAATACATATACATACTAATAAATATATAAGTTATATACTCGCCATTAATTAGTAATTATATCGCCCCCATCATCTTCATAGTTTCCGACGTTAATGTGCTCAAAGATCATAAAATATGTTTGGAGAGGTTATTGAATGCATTACGTATTTTATTCCACATATATATATATATATATATATATATATATATATATATATACATATATACATATATATACATATATATATATATATATACATACATATATACAATATACATATATACATATATATACATATATATATATATATATTGGTAAAAGACCATAATTTTTACAATATTCTATAAATTCTATAAAAAAACGAACTATAAACATATTAACGCCAAACATTCGATAGAATTTATAGAATATTGTATATATATATATATATATATATATATATATATATATATATATATATATATATATATATATATATATATGTATATATTACACATGTGACAAAAATGTAAACCTACCGCGGAAGTTATGTGCCGTCACAATTGGCATTTGAACTGCAAACGTACGACTTGTTCTTGACCTGGATAGGCAACTGCTTTGACCCACTCATTGTTGAAGCGGTGAAATCATGGCAATCATTGCCAACCAGCAGATGTGTGGCGGAGTGCTTGTTGCTCTTCTTAAACTGGGAGGTTTGAACATTAGGTCTCTCAAACACTATGCTGAGTCTACGCAATTATCTGAAAGCAAACGACAGTGATGAACTAAAGTGTTTGTGGACCGAATCGTTCAAAATTACATCAAAATTGACAACCAGCTCCTAAATTCGAGCGACATCAAACCGACGCTTAAATCGTTAATGCTGCGACAGCAAAGTGCAGAACTTGAACGACTGACAACTTTTGTCACTCCTTTGCCAGGGTACAATTAACAAAGCAATTAGTAGTCATATTCAGGCAGCTCGGATTACTCACTGGTCGCGATACATTGCCGGTCTTCCAAAGGTTCTGTTCAGATTTGTCAGAAAAAGTTTGATACAGCAACTGCCGACAAATGCAAATCTGTCCAGATGGAGAAAGTCTTCCACTACCCAGTGTCCACTATGCAACAATCAACAAACTAACAAACTTGTACTCTCCAACTGCGGCTCAATATCGGCGTTAAAGAGGTATACAGACCAAGACACAACAAAATTCTAACAATAATTCTAACAATAATTCCTGAAAAATGAAATCATGCGCCAACCTCCACTCTCCATTTTTGCAGTTCTAGAGACATTGCAACAAGACGAAACTATTGAAAAACTGGAATAAACAGCCTTTCACGAAACGAACCTTCTTAAAATATCTAAATACTCTAGTTGCTTGCAAAATAACTTAATTGACGACTTAAAACATTTAAAAATAAATACATTCAAAATTTCAACTCTAGGTTTATTTAAAATATTTAATTTATCTCTTATAAACATTATTTGATCTGATCATTTCTGCAATAGCCTCATTAAATCTGCAATGTCGTTGCCGTAAGCTATTTACTGCGATAGAAATGTGACTTGAATCAATTTTGAAACTAATTAACTTTAGTTGTACTCATTCTTTTTGAATGAAAAGCTTCGTAGACTAAATTAAAAATTTTTCATTATTGTTATTATTATTATTTGTAGTAATAGTAGTAGTAGTAGTAGTAGTAGTAGTAGTAGTAGTAGTAGTAGTAGTAGTAGTAGTAGTAGTAGTAGTAGTAGTAGTAGTAGTAGTAGTAGTAGTAGTAGTTGAAGTAGTAGAAGTAATAGAAGTAGTAGAAGTAGTAGTAGTAGTTGGAACATTTACGGAACATTTTTACATGGTTTACGTTACGATAATAAGGAAAAAATTTCCTATCTATGATATATTACATATAGCGTTAAAGGTCAATACTGAATGGATCGAGTAAGTAAATAATAAACGGCGTCAAAAAAGTCGAAAAATATTAAATTATCAAATATTTGCTCGAGCTCAATATTTTTTTTTTAAATACGACTTTGTAAAGTAGTTTTTGTAGGCTGCTGTCAAATTGGCTTGCGGTTATGCTTAAAATCAGTCTTTTTATACAAATTATTGAGAAGGACTTCATCGAAAATTTTGAAAATGGTTGGCGACTAGACTGCTCATGATAAAACATTGCAATACGTCATTCCTGCTTTGAAAAAGCTTTCAATATTTTTTCCAGTTCTACAAAATATTATATCCCAATAATTTAAAATTAAAAAATTAACTTAAATCATTCAATCAAAAAATGTTGATGCAATTTATATGTACAAAGAGTATTCTCACCAAATTAATTCACATTTTAGAAGATAAAGGCTAACAGGACATAAAATAAATTCACGAAGCACATTCACAAGTTTCAAACACTGTTCCTCTACTTCCTATATTGTGGTATGTTTAACAAAATAAATGGTATTTAAACAAGCGTAACACTGATCAATAATATAGTTCAACAGCAAATAAAACGTTCGCCTATTCAAAATAATTTTTTCAGCTTTAAACATTCACAAACACAACACATACTGATATTAATGAATATTTTTGCAACTGCAATTGAATCAAATACGGAATTTGTTAAAATAAAAATAACTAACGTCATTGATTGGATTTTCTACCGAAATAATGTTGTAAAGAACTTTTAAAACTTGAACGCACAAGTTCACTTTTTGGGAATTAAGTTTATTTTCATTTCTAATGAATAGGCGAATGAATTGAGAACTTCCGTCAAATAGGTTATGCCAAACATGTCATCTCTTATTCTTAAACTATGAAAAAAACACATCAAAAAATTAATATTCAATGATTAAATGACAACCAAATTATTTCCTAGTACTTGTTAGATATATTATTTAAACCTAAACGCCCGATTTACGATCGTCTTCTCGTTTTCACTCCTTAACTTTTTTTAAACACTATCACGTTAAGTCTGCGGTTGCTATTTCTGGATCTTTTCTCTAAATTTCTCTAATTCTTTCTCAAACTACTTTTCCATCACTTACGAAGTTCAGAGCGGATCTCAAGACCCATCGGTTTGTGAAATTTATTAAGGACTTGAGGAGCACTTCGGAAATGACGATTTAGAGACTAATTGATTGATTGAACCAACGGAGTTATAAATTTTTCAAGAATTAAAATTGTTTTAGAATTTTTATAAATGAATATGAACGAACACCATCGATGTGGCAATGTTTATACTTCAAATTCAACCAAGCCGAAATTTTTTTATAATTATTTTTATTTAAAAATTAATCGTTAAAATCATCTTAAAATATTTTTGTTACAAAATAATTTCACCTTAAATTTGGGTCGAAACCAGTTAACAGACGAATTAACTTCATGTCTAACAACTGTCAAACGATATAGGAATTTTCAACAATATAAGGATTTTGTTTATTAATTACCATTTAAAGATAAATGAAACTGTTAGTCATTTAATTTTACCAATTATTATAATATGTGTAATTATAAAGCAACCTTGACACCATTTGGTAAATAAGGGTCATTGTATAATTTTAACCGGTCAACAATTCCTTGCAGACAAGGACCATTACTGATGAGCAACATGGTAGAATTTTAAACATTGTTTAATAGTATTTCATCTCATTAAATTAAATCAACTTTTATTAGATTTTATTACACAAAAATTCCTGCACATGATCACTGGCAGATATGGAGGCGGGGGGGGCATTTTTTAAAATTAGAGTAATATATGTGTAAAATCGATCAAAAATTGAACTTGATAAGCAAAAAAAAGGTCGTCAGCCACACTACCACAAATCTTGGCCTCCCGTAAAAATTTTGGATTTTGTCCTCCCGTAAAATGTAAGCATTTTCAGATTTTTGGCCTTCCGTCCAAGTTGTCTAGATCGCCCCCAGCACATGATTATTATTCTGAGTATTAGGTAAAACAATTAGCGCAACGTTGGTCTGCAGTAAAATGTTATAATTTCATGCCCATTAACCATTATCATTTTTAAGAATTACAGCCCTTTGCTCTTAGTATTTAGTGTTCCATCATCAGTATCACAAACTGTCACAAATCGATTAACCCCCCAAAAATAAACATGTCACAAAACTTTACCCCTTCCCCCCTCTTAGTGAAGAGTTATTAAACAATGTAATTGTTCTATGCTTTTACTTTTAATGATATCAAAATATTGAATGACAAGTTTATATGACGATAGTTTGACATCAAAATGCTTTACCGTAATTAAAATATAACGAATTAATAAGAAAGATCACGAATTGCTTTCCTCCCAAAGACTGGCCAGGTGCTGTGAAACTGAAATTAACGAAATACATAGTCTTTCTTCTTTTGGTTTATTTTGTAACTCTACGTTGGTAGCGTCCACGTCATCTTCATTCGGCCATTCAACATCAACATCAACATTCAACATCTTCGTTTTCCTCAAATGCAATTACTGTCATAAATTCCCTCTGGCGTCTAGCAGCAACTCTGACTGGTCTAACTTTATTATGCTGAAATAAAGATGTTTTGTGAATAACATGATGCTTTTTTGCCATCACAAGCTAGGACAAGCTGTTTGGAATGGCTATTTAATTTTCAACATAAGACTAACAAATAGATTTGGAAAATCAATGTTTCTTTAATGTACTGCATTTGTGGGCTTTCACTATTTCGACTAATTGGAACTGGAGGTGGCAGAAACACAGCGGTAAACTTTAACAATGGCATTTAAATTTGACTCCTCTTTTAATTAATATTCATGAGCTATTTGTTCGATTGAAAACTTTGATATTCAGTTATGCGCATATATATGAAAGAAAATATATTTATTGTTTTGTTTATTTATAAAAAGGGACGTCACACTTGCGTTTACCTCCCCCCTCGTCACAAAGTGTCCCAAATATTTAGACCCCTCCACTCCATGAAGCGTGACATCCTTTATGGACGGCCCGACTGTAAAAATATTGAAAAAATTTAATACTCAGTTGAACAGAATAGAATTTTTGAACAGAATTCACTCAGTTGAAGTTGATAATGTATATTTAAAATGTTCAGACGGGAGTATAGAACTGGTGAAAGCGATATAAACTACTTTATCTATTTCCATTATCAAAGTCGTCATTTGTAGTAGCACAGTTCCATCATCACAACATTGTCGTCAACATTGTCATCTTACATACCAACAGAAATGAATTAATTAAATATCTAGCCTGCATACACTTGTGACCAGATGACTCCTTAAAACCATCTCACACAAACACTCCAGGGCTAGCATTATTACTTATTACAAACGATTAAAGTTATTGTGAGAATGATTTAATGTATCATTTGGTATATTGAATGGATTAAACAATTAAAAACATGAAAAATTTTTTTTTTGACAGGATATGAAGCTTTTTTAACATTCAAACATATTTGTAGGTATAAAGACAAATTGAATGAAAAGTAATGTGACAAGCGTAAAGAAGTGAACGGTGAGAATAAATTTGAGAATTGAAGTAATATGTCTGGTGAAATTATTAGTTTCTAATTGAAGGCGCTTCAATAATATTTATCAAGATAAAACAAAAAAATACTCGTAACAAACAAAATTGAATATTGTTTAATCGCCATGCTATCAAATAAACCTCTGCCATCCGTGCGGCGCGGAACACAAACATCAATCAACTGTGCACAACTGACGAGTGTAGTCACGTGTTCTTCTTTCAATGTCTCTATTAAGATTATCTCGTTTTTACAAATGTTCAGAATATTTTTCAACGTTTGACATTTTGAATCTTCATTAGGTTCTTTTGTTAAATTCTTCAATAAGTTCGAGAGTATCAACTAATATTTATTTTTGATAAAGCATTGGTTATTGAAGGAAGATATATGATAGAGTTTTGTTATCATAAGTAAAATTGCGGTGTAAAACGGCCAAATTAACTGCACAGTGGACATATTTTGCACCAGGTAAAAATTGATTTGTGCCATTCTAACGAAACAGCCACACACATTAACAGCCACACACACGCATTATCTATAAAAAAACTCGGTTTAAAAAAAAATGAAATTCTAAAATATTATTAATTATTTTGTTATATATTAAAACCATATCTAAACTGTTTTTTATATTTGTTGAAATATATAAAGGACCAATGCGATAATAAAATGAAAATTACAAACTTGAATGATTGATATTTTAGAACGTTCGCCAAGAAACTGATATTTATTGAAGTCGCTAAACTCCATCGCTGCGCTGTTTCAACCATCAAAATGTCAGCTCGAAAAAGAAACATAGAAAGTGCAAATAAAATATAGTCTGGCTCAGAAAAGTTTAACTTTTATAAACATTATATATAGATAAACACACATATATACATATTGTGTATATATATATATATATATACATATACATATATATATATATATGTGTGTGTGTGTGTGTGTGTGCATGCGTGCATATGTGTGTAGGTGCGTGTGAATTTGTTTGCGTTTGCAAAATCATTTTTATTTTTGGTTATCCATCTAGCCTTTGTGTCGGTAAATGACGGTTTTTAATTTTCTCATATTTATTAATAAAATAAAACTTAAAATAAATGAAATGTTTTGGTCAGTTATTATAATGTTATAACAGCGTAAATGATAGAATAGCGCTATATAATTTGTTCTTTGCTATATTTGTAATCTTTGGGAGATTTGTAAAATTGTGTCTACACTAAATCGGGATATGAATTTGTTTTCCAAAGTTGAGGTAGAAGAAGAAGTGGAGGTTCGAAGCGCTGTTGTAAATGTGATTTATGTAGTTATTTGGACTAATGTATTGTTCCTATTAATGTTGGTATTCAAACAAATGTTTAACAAAGTTTGTGTAATAAACAGTTGTGTTCATCAATCAGAAATCTTGAACCTACGGATAAACGAACTCTTGACTATTGTTGGAAGCTAAAATACGGTGTTGGAGATATAGAGATTATTGAAGTTTAACATCGGTGTTGGCCTTTACGAGGTCAAGGAGATACAATATTAAAAAAAAACAGAAATATACGTTTTTTTGTAACCGTACTCACAATTGTTTTTTAAAAACTTTTTAAAAATCATGTAATTAAGATTCATGGTGTTTATTTATGTTATTTAATTTAGCAATGAAATTGTTTTGAAATTAATAAAAGATGAACAGCTGAGAAAATTTTTTAAATAGTGTAAGAATTTTCAAAAGAAAACTGAAATAAAACAATCTTATATGGCAAAATGTTATTCAAGCACAAAAATTTGTACTTATAAAATACAGTGATATCAAAAACAGGCAAATATTAATGGAACGAATGAATAGAACATCTCTGCAATTATGAATTAATGATCATTTCAGCGGGAATGTTAGCAATTGTTACTATCATCATGTATTTAAAAAATCATTATAAAAATTGGACAACTGCTACTTTTTCTTAAATTGTCAGCAAATTAAATTTTAAACGGAGTTAATTGCTTTTTTGGTTTTTAAATATTTATTCATGAATTTTAATATTTAGATTTTTTATTTGTGTTTTAATACTTCATTCCAGTTGCAAAAAAAAACTTTAAAAACTTTTTTGTTATGTTTGTTTTTGTTTTGAACTCTATAAACAAAATAGATATGTTTATATTTCCTGAAAAAATTCATTTCAATTTATGCATAATATGCCTTCTTCATGTTCGTAGATGAAAATTTTACTTTTCATTAAAATTATTTAACTTTGTAAAAGTTAACACAGGAAAGAAACATTATTATGAAAAAGGGTTGAAAATTAATTTCTATATTTTTTGCACTTAAAATTTCCATTTGTTTCCATTGTTATATTGTCATGCTTATTGTCAGATTTTATAAGTTTTTCAACGGCTTATTTTTTAATTAGTTAATAAGGGATAAGCAAATAGGATAGCAGATGATAAAATCTTAATTGAATAGGTCCAACAATATCAGATAATCACAAAAATTACCAATGCCAAATATCTTGTTAATTATATAATAAGTAAATCAAATATATAATAAAGAATATAACTCTAAAATCAACATCTTTGAAATAAATCAACTATCGTATAATCTAGAGTTATTGCTTAGATGATTGATCAAGATCTGCGAAAAAAAAATATTTCTAAAAAACCATCTATTAAATTGGACAAATCGGACAAATAAAAAATTATAAAAATAAATAAAAAGAAAATAAAACATACATAAAAACAGTAAACACATACACGCATACAAACATACTTCATTTTTTTTTACTCAAAATTAAACGTGAAAATGTTTGTTAAATTATTCTGAGACAATGAAATGGAACGACTGTTGTTGTCCAAGATGGATATGCTTATGCGCTCTTTAATTTCCGTTGAAAATGTTTCAACTGTTTAAATAACTTTGTAACATTATGAAGCCAAAATTAATATTAATGTAGCTTGATAAAAGTGAAAAATATAAAAAAAAATCAAAAATTAAATATTTTTATTTATTCAGCTAAACGTATAATGAAAAAAATAATAATTTTTCGATGGAAAGTGTGACGCATTTTTGAAAAATAATTTTATTTTCCCTCATTTTTAGCTATGCATTTTTTTTTTGAAATGAATTTTATTTGGCAAAAAAGCACAGGAGATCAAGATACCAACGTATGTGCTGACCACCTTAACTAAAATTGTGTCTCTATAGATAAGATGTAGTGATAAACAAAAATATTTGAAAATGAACAGTTGCAAACAAAAATGAATAAAATATTTCATTAAAATTAAATGAACTGAGGGTTTTAAAAAAGTAGTTAAATAAGCAAAAATAGTTATCTTTATTACATGAGTACGTTAAGCCACAAAAATAGAAAATAATAATATAAGATGATATATTTGTTAAGTAAAGATAACAAACAATCAACTAACAACGAAATGATTAGATGAGATGAGCTGACATGTCGAGGTTTTGAAAAGACTGAGTGAAGGAGAAGCCTTTATATTGGCAGGTAGAGTATCCCAGAAGCGCATTGAAGAAGATAGGGTAGAATTGGGAAAAAAGTTTGTTCGAGGTTTAAAAGAACGAAAATCGGGAGTATAACGTAAACATTCACGTCCAGTGTTTTTGAACAAAATAAGTTCATTGTATAATGGTAGACAATAATATAATTTGTATATTTTAAAAAAGGAAATTAACAGATGTTTGACATATAAGTGATTTATGTTGCAGATGTTTGATAAAGGATAATAGGGGGTTACATGATCAAATTTATACAAATCAAATAGAATACGAATGAAGAAATTTTGAGCCAAGGTTAAAATATGAAGATTAGATTTAGGGGCAGAACCCCAGGCGGAGATGCAATATGTCAAATATGGCAGAACGAAAGAGTTATATAAGGTTAGCAGGATAAACTTAGGAAATTTAAATCTAAGGCGATAAATAAGCCCTAAATTCTTAGATAATTTGCATGAAATGTGCTTAATATGAGCAAACCATGATAAATTAGAAGAAATGATAACACCTAAAAATTTGGTAGAGTCTACTCTCTTAACTGTTTGTTCATTGAGCAAAACAATAGGGAAAACAATATCGGTTCTAATCTTTGGACCAAACAAAACAAAACATGTTTTATCCAGGTTAATACGCAGGTTATTAGAAACAACCCAATTATAAATAAGCTTCAATTCATTATTAATAACGGAGACTAAAAAATTGAGGTCAGAATGAGAGTATAATAGAGTAGTATCATCAGCAAACAGAATGAATTTTAGAATACTTGATGAGTTGATAAATTCATTAATAAAGATATTAAAGAGCAATGGACCAAGGATTGAACCTTGAGGAACACCGGAATTAATTGGCGATAATGAGGAATTAGAATCATTAATAGACACGTATTGGGAACGGTCGTGTAAATAAGAACAAAAACAATCATAAGGCAGACCACGAATTCCATAAGAAAACAATTTATATAGCAAAATCTTAGGATCTAAAGAATCAAAAGCCTTGCACAGGTCAATAAAAACGCCAATTGAATATTTTTTAGATTCGAGAGCAAGAGAGATAAAATTCACAACATCAATTATTGCAAATTCACTCGATAATTTATCCCTAAAACCATACTGATTTAAACAAATTACATCACGGAAATAAAAAAATTTATTAAGACGGTTAAGAACAATTTTTTCAATTAACTTTGATAAACTAGAAAGCACAGAAATTGGTCGATAATTTGTTATAGAATGCCGGTCTCCAGATTTAAATAAAGGTAAAATTTTAGAAAATTTAAGGCAATTAGGAAAAACACCTTTGTTAAATGACATGTTAATCAATTGGACCAAGGGTAATAAAATACTATGAATAATTTTTTTAAGCATAAAATTAGATATGAGATCATCACCACAGCTATGAGTATTCCAAAAGTTATTCACAACGTCAATAATTTCATTTGGAAGACACTCAAACAAAACAAATGAATCATTAACACCATAGCTGACATACTTTTTATAGTCACAATTATTAACATCGCTATTATCAATAGTGTTCATTGAAGACAAATAGATGTTAAAATGGTTACATAATTGTGTATCATCCGTGATAAAATGACCATCAATCATAATATTAAGTGGTGCGGAATGATTAAGACCTAAACATGATTTTAGCATTTTCCAGCACTGTCTGCTATTGGATCGACACTTAACGAAATGATCATTATAATATGAATTTTCAGCTAACTTACACAACTTGGTAAATATATTCTTATATTTAGAATAAGCTTCAAGCTTGAATTTTAATTTTGATAAAATTAAACATGAAATTGAAGCTCTGTCAGTTTTGATGATTCGTCGACCGGCAGGATGATTTTGAATGCCGTGGATTCTAAAAGGTTGTTTTGTGCGACGCCAATAACTTCAGGGTTACGTTTACGTAGTACTGGGTAACAGTGAATGAAGTCAATGTTTTTGGAACGGAGATGATTTTCGATTGTTTCTTTATTACATGGGCCAACGTTGCCCACGTAAAATGTTCTCTTCTTAACAATAATTTTAGAGGCTTTTAAGGCACAATTAGTGCCCGTGCCATACATTTTTAACGGTTTCTTAGATATAACATTGCTGTTAGAAGCTTGGTGTTGTTAAAGATTTTGAGGTTGGAGGTTTCGCCATTTTCGCAATGTATATATATATATATATACCGGCATATTTTATAACGCTTTAAAAATAAAAGATGTTTTGTTACATGCAAATTTGAAAAGTTGACAGCAAGTAATGGCAACCGATCGTTTACAACTTTGCCAAGAAAACAATGGGCAATACAAGATACTACAGATAATCCGACGGGGGCAGTTAAAGTTTTTTGGTCACATTATGCGGAAGGAAAGAATGGAAAATCTAACAACTACTGGAAAGATTGCAGGGAGAAGAGATCGCGGTCAACACGAATAACATTCGTGAAGTCCTCGTGTCACTTGTTGAATATCACTATATGTAAATTCTTACGAAATGTTTAAGATCGGGTTTGGGGGAGACCGATAGTCGCCAATGTCCTGAAAGGATAAGGCACGAGAAAGAAAACTTATATTAAATTTGACAAAACAAGAAACATAACGGAATAAAGTTAACATTTTATTTACACGTGAATACCATTTTAACATCTAAAAAACTCGTCAATCACATAACTTCCATTCAGTTTTCCAGTTTTAAAAATCTACCCAAAACTTTCAAATTCTTCATAGGCATTAAAAGCAAGTAGAATAAAGACATAACGATCGTAACGCAACGATTGTTTCATTCGTTAAATTACTATTTTTACAAAAAAAAACAGAAGAAACTGTCAAAAAATAAGAAATTAACAAACAAAATGTAACAAAAAGGAGCAAGCAAAACATAATCATCTAATCTTTCCAAAAAGTTTAGATGCATTCAGCGTCTTTGGTACCACACGAATCGTCATAGAGATCCTAGCTTCCGCTCTTTTCAAATCTTTACCATAAAAATCCGGACCCAAATTCAAAACTTTATCGTCGATGTGGTCATTAGTCGTATCCCTAATCCCGTGCAAGTAATTAGTGTAGGCCTCGGAGCGGAAAATTAGTAAGCTTCTCCTTTTTAAATATAACGAACCAACCCGTCTGTCGGCCATTTTCGATCTTTCTGTAACGTTCTGATGAAAAATTGAAAGAAAACAACAAGGTTAAACATTCACATGGTTGTTGGAATTAAAGAAAAATCTTGCACGCACACAAACACGCACGCACATACACACGCACACACACACACACGCACACACAGTGAATAACTTACTTCTGCATCATAATTAAAATTAAAGTAACTCCTATCCACAGAGCTTTCTTTATTATTATTATTATTGTTATTGCTATTATTATTATTATTATTACAACCAATGTTTTCAGAGTCAAGTTCATCAATGTCATTGTTATTAATATCGTTAATACTACTACTACTACTACTACTACTACCGCTACTACTACTACTACTACCTTTATAGTTGTTATTATGATTATTTCGACTACTACTACCATTAGCGCTACCACTACTAATACCATTACTGCTACTACTACTACTGCTACTACTACTACTACCAATACTATTCTGGTGCGAATTGAGTACTTGAGTACCACTACTACTAATACTTTCTTGTTGGAGGTGATGATGATGATTGTGGGGGCGATAGAAGTCGATTAGGAGGTTGGAGGCCAGGGATAGGATGCAGACGGTGGGGTAGTACAAGGGACCGTCTGTGTGTGGCTTGAAAAAGAATTTTTAGAAAGTTATTTTTCCTGTTCATACATTGATTAAAGTTTAAGCTTTTATACAGTTTGAAAATGGAAAATTACATTTTAAGATACTCAATAAATGAATG